TCTAGTTCTACCTAGGACATAAAACTAGCTGGGAGATCATGGACCAGTTACTCTCTCTCAGTCCTAGGAAGCACATAATGGTAATCTAATTCTAAAATCTTGCCGAGAAGAACTGTAGAGACTGTTCCAAGCAGTTGCCAGAAGTCAAGGCTCTCTCTCTCTCTCTCTCTCTCTCTCACACACACACACACACACACACCACCACACCACACCACACCACACCACACCACCTACTACATCTTAGATGTTAGAATCAGACCAGAATTTGAAATGACTCCTTGACCCTATATAAAGGCCTTTTGGAAAGAAAGAATAATATATTTATCCCTTTTCTCATTAAATATTTTCCCCTTTCCCCCACTTTATTTATGCCAACTGCTCAGAGAGATTTGAGGATTGGGCAGCCTTACAAATCTAACACAGGTAGTCCTCGACTTACAACCACAATTGAGCCCAAAATTTCTGTTGCTAAACAAGACAATTGTTAAGTGAATTTTGCCCCATTTTATGACCTTGTTTGCCAAGTGAATCACTGCAGGTGTTAAGTTAGTAACATGGTTGTTAAGTGAATCTGGCTTCCCCATTGACTTTGCTTGTCAGAAGGTTGTAAAAGTTGATCTCCTGACCCCAGGACACTGCAAACATCACAAATATGAACCAGTTTCCAAGCATCTGAAATTTGATCATACGAATATGGGGATACTGCAACAGTCATAAGTGTGAAAAACGGTCAGAAGGTACCTTTTCAGTGTGGTTGCATCTTTGAACAGTCACTAAATGAACTATTGTAAATTGAGGACTACCTGTAAATCAATCAGGGGAGCACTCAACCTTTCCCACTGCATGTTCAATTTGTCATGTAATTCCACCCACTCACCTTTTTAGGGCCTTTCCCCATTACCGCAACCAATTCATCCCTGGGTCATGGGGAAACTATGGCACAAAATTTGCTGTCCCCACTGCCAGGTCCTGTCCAACTTCTATTGCATCTGTTTCAAGCCATTACCAAAAAACTTACAAAGCAAATGTCATGCTTAGAACGGTTAAAGAGCCAAGAATAAAGCACCATAGTTCCCTGAGGTATCTGTAATAAAACGTCTGGTCCCAAATACCCCACAAAATGATATGGTAGGGATGGAAATGTTATAAAAACAGAAAAGCAAAATAATTAGCAAATAAAGCAGCTTTTTTTCATGAGAAGCTACAACATCAATGCAGAAGCCTGAAAAAAAGATGCTACTCTGTAAGTAGATCCCCTCTTAAAGTTAGTAGGATTTTTAAAGCAGCTGTCATTTTTATTCAGGATCCCTTGGACAGCTCAAAGAAAATGAGCTGCTGGTGAATTTTAGAAAAATATTGTGTTTGCAGAAGTTCCAGATTGCTTCTTCTGAAAAAAAGTTTGAAGAACATGCAATCTTAATGCGGTTGCCTGGACTGTTGTTAAATAAGTGGCATTTGCAAATTACCTATGTGAAATCACAGTGTTCATAACAGGAATTGCTTAGTTCTCTTCAGATATATTTTTTTATTAACATACACAATTTGGCAAGCAATTCTTTCCCCTTCTGGAAACTTCTACACATTCACTTAAAACAGACTTAGAGAATATACAAATGATCTCTATTTTGAAACAGGTGATCTTCCCCAATCACTTTCTCAGAAAAAATTAATTTCACTCTTCCCTAAAACACAGGAAATAGGGGGCGTTTTGCTGAAATAACTGAAAATCGTAGTGAAATAACATCTTTTTCCCCCCATACGAGTTATAAAAACGTTCCTTTACATTATTATTTAGCATTTTAGCTCTGTCTTGTTTAATGACACTATCTATATTTTATAAAATGCCCATCAGAAGCAGCAGGGATCATAACTTGCTGCAATCTTTTCTAATATATTTTTTTTTATTTCTCCCTTGGAAAGTACCAATAAGTATGAAAACAAGCCCATGGTGATTTTAAAATATACACAGCAGTAGCTCCATCAAGACAGGGATCTCTACATTTCACAAGTTACAACTGTGGCTGCCTCAATTTTGGGCTCAATTGTGGTATGGTAATAAGTCTGGGATTACCTGTATTTTATGTGAATTAGTAGGAGCTTAAACCATCATATTCCATTTACTGAGTACATACACATTATAGATACAGGCACCTGAATCTGAAAAGTTCCTGCTACTGGATTCACTGAGCAAAGCAGTCCTTAAAAATATGAAGGCTAATATAGGTAGTCCTCGACTTACGACCAGAATGGAGCCCAAAATTTCTGTTCTAAAGTGAGACATTTGTTAAGTGAGTTTTGCCCCATTTTATGACCTTTCTTGCCACAGTTGGTAAGTGATTCACTGGAGTTGATAAGTTAGTAACTTGATTGTTAAGTGAATCTGGTTTCCCCATTGACTTTCCTTGTCAGAAGGCCTCAAAAGGGTACCCATGACCTTGGGACACTGCAATGGTCATACAGTAAATATGAACTAGTTGCAAAGTATCTAAATTTTGATCACTTGATTATGAAGATGCTGCCAAGTTGGTATCTGTTGAGTGAAAGTTCAACGTAAGTCACTTTTTTCAGTGCTGCTGTAACTTTGAATGGTCACTAAATGAACTGTTGTTAAGTCAAGGACCACCTGTACCTACCACTTGCCCATAGCAAGAACATTGCATCAAGGCATTCAGAGTCTGTCCTGTTGAATAAGGACCAACTGCTTAATTTGCTTCCTTATACTCTCATTTTTATAGCCTTAGAAAAAAATCCAAACATTTGGTATGCACTGACATTTGTCTTCAACACTGAGTTAACTGAAACCCGCTCAGTGTTTTCTGCAGTTCTCTCTTTTTGACTCTTGTGTGGTTTTTCTCAGGGAATTTTCACAGATAACATTTGCATCACTCCTATATTAGCTCCATCAGGTCCTGTACCTCATCTACGTTAGGAAACTGAGCCAATTCTGGGGTTTTTTTTCTATTCTGGTTCAACTATGGTGCATCAGAACTTGCTTCAACTTTCCACTTGAAATGCTGGAATTCCATAGAGTTTGGAGTGACCCATTTTCCCATTAACAAGAACACTTCTTTTGGACTTCCAGTTTTTAGTATTTTTTTTCTTAACTGAACAGGTAGAAATGAGCAGTTTGTCAGTTTCCCTCACAACATTTTAAAAAAATAAATGTAATGAAGGAAAGAGGTTTTGATTCCCTCCAATTGGCTAACTGGCACCATTTCAAAGTTTCACATATTATGAAAAAAATATAGCTTTACACTGTTCAAGAGTTTTCAATAAAATTTGATATTCTTCCTTGGATCTGAAATGTAATAGTGATTCATTTGTCCATTAAATATCCTGCTTAACTTCATGACATTCTTAGTCTCATCAAGCTATCCCTGTTTTACTTAAGGGGACTTTTCAAGGCCAGGTTATGAGATGAATTCTACTTACATAATTCTAATCATATAAGAACATGGGTAAAGAATCAGAAGAGGGGTGGACTTTTATAGTGTGTTCAACCCTTGCTTATAATACTTATCAATATTCCCCACATTTGGTTATAAATGACCATAAAATAATGTAGGTTGCAAATATACATGAGTAAACAGTTGAAGAAAAGTAACTGGCCAGTAATTCTAGATAATTTTAGATGCAAATATAACTAGGGCGTGTGTCAATTCTGGTTTCAGCGGAGAAGCTGACTTGGTCAAACTGCAGCTAGAAGACAGAAGAATATGACCTTGAAATTTTTTGAGACTCTTTCAACAGCGTTTAATACAATGGCTTTAGCCGTGGCACGACAAAACCATGCTCGTTAAAATAGCGGTGATTAAACCGCGTCGCTAAAGCCGCGACGTCATCACTGCGCGTCATCACCGCCACGACAACAGCGCGGTGACAGAAGGGCGTTCTACATGTGTCGTTCTTTGCCTCTGTACCTCCAAAGGTAGCCCTCCTCCTCCAGCTGACAGCGGCAGCGGGCACAGGGCAAAGTGGGCTGCCCAGTAGCAGCAGCCCGCAGGAAGGGTCCAGCTCAGCCGTGGGGGGCAGCAGGAAGCCCGCGGGGGGCCCAAGCGGGGCCACCGCCGCTGCCTGCCCTGCCTCTTCCTCCGGGGGAGGCGCTGGCGGTGGATGACGCGGCAGCGGTAGCGGCTGAGGCTCTCCCGGGGCCGGTGAAGCGGGCTTGCCCGGCGGCGGCGGCTGCCCGTCCAAGGAGATGTTGTTGAAGAAGAAGAGGGCGGCCTGCCTCGGCCAGGCAAGCCCGCTTTGCCGGTCCCGGGAGACCCTCAGCCGCCGCCACTGCCACGTCCTCCTCCGCCGCCTGCGCCTCCCCCGAAGGAAGAGGCAGGGCGGGCAGCTGAGCTGGACCCTTCCCGCGGGCTGCTGCTGCTGGGCAGCCTGCTTTGCCCCATGCCTGCTGCCGCTGTCAGCTGGAGGAGGAGGGCTACCTTTGGAGGTACAGAGGCAAAGAACGAAGCATGTAGAACGCCCTTCTGTGGCCGCCCTGTTGTCATGGCGGTAGGGTCGTGTTTTTCTTAGCGCTTCAGATGCCGCGGATTTGCCTCCGCACTTATGTCAGCGCGGATAAGGGCTTTGTGGTTTTGTGGTGGAACCGGCTTTAGCATTAGTTTGAGCAAGCTGTAAGAGGGACAAATTATGTTTTCATAGCTCCTGGTGATAATTCTAGGAGACTCTTACTTAATATTAAGCCTTGCCTTTTATTTCACATACTTTTCAACATCAGTTTTAAATTGCTTTGATCACTTAATGGTTATGGCACAGGTTGAATTCCACAGATGAGAGGCCATTGGTTTGTTTTTTCATGTTCAAATGTGCAAACACTCTCGTATCTAATCTAGCATGATAAGCTTCTCTTGTTAAACAACTATGACCCTGGCATTTTCTTTCTGTAGTGGTTTGTTGTGTTATTCTTCTACATTTGATATGCAATCTTGGATAAAAATGTGCATTTGAAGATTTTAAGGTCAATGGGTAGCATTGATTTTGTTTACTTTTACCTAAAGGGAGTCTTCCTTTCAGCCTTCTTGAATTTAGGGTAGCTTTCTGATTCTTACTGAGTGAAGGGCCCATCACAAGCACTTCATCTGTCCTCTCAGCAAATGCATGGAACCTGAAGTGTAAACAATATTAATTTGTAATATATATCTGTAATCATAGTGTAACCTCCTTTAGGAGGAAAAGTATTAGAAATGAAACAATACTGTTGCTGCTGTAGTCATTCTGGATGACCTTGGATTTTTCTTTCTCCCGTATTGCCTACCTCACATAGTTTTTATAATTGAGGGGATGGAGAGCAATCTACGCCAATTTAAGCTCCTTGGGAAGATAAAAACGTAATTTGAATTCCAAAGCAGCTGGTAAACAGACATGGGCAATATGATACCCTTGTGACTTTATCAGCTAGTTTAAAAAAATCTGTTCTGAAACATCTTTCAAGAAATCAAGTTACATCACTCAATATTTTCTGCAATATTCATTTTTTTTATTATGTGCACTTTAATCAGGGCATTTGTCACAGTATTTAACATACAATTTCTGATTTTTTTAAAAGGACTATGGCTTGTTCATTGACATAAACTTTCCATCTGTAGAACTACACATTCAGTCAGCTGCTACAAGCATTTTTTTTAATTAGCACCAACACTACTGTCCTTCCAGAGATCTTTTAAGAAGTGAGTTTAAAGCCAGGCCTGGGGATCCCTTGACAGGGAGCCTGCAAAAGAGCTTTATAAGATATGAGTTTTTAAACCCTTATATACCATATTTTTTGGATTATAAGACGCACCAGAGTATAAGACGCACCAAGATTTTGAAGAGGTAAATTTAAAAAAAATGTTTTCCCCCTCCCTGGCCCCCAGGAGCACTGTGCAGGCCTCCCAAACCCTCTGCATGCCCCATTTGTTGTGAAAAATGGGGCATGCAGAGAGTTTGGGAAGCCTGCAAAGTGCTCCTGGGGGCCGGGGAGGGGAAAACTGTGATGCATGGGGGGTTGGGGAGGTGAAAAATGGGCCTGTTTTTTGCAAAAATGGGGTGTGCAGAGGGTTTGGGAGACTTGTAGACTGCTCCTGGGGGCTGGGGAGGGCAAAACACCTGTTTTGTGAAAAACGGGTCCGTTTTTTGCTCATTTTTACTCTCCCCAGCCCCCAGGAGCACTCTGCAGGCCTCCCAAATCCTCTGCATGTCCATTTTTGTAAAAAAAACAAAAAAAAACAAAACAGGATGTGCAGGGTGGGGTTCTGGGAGGCCAAAAATGCTATATTCAGTGTATAAGACGCACCCAGATTTTCATTCTCTTTTTTGGGGGGGAGTGCATCTTATTCTCTGAAAAATACGGTATGTGTTTATTGTTAATAATTATTTAAAAATATGTCTTTCTAGTTTTTTTATAGTACAGTTCCAGAGTTATATTCATATGCCCTCAGAACACCAGGCCTATATAAACCTTTTGATTATTCAAAAATATTTAGTTATTGCTTCAGTAAAAAGCTAACTAAAGGTTCAGCCTTCACCATTGTTGCCTTTTGGAAATGACTACCAAGCCATTCCTTGCCATAATTATTTTTTATCTAAGTGTCATGCCCCCATCGGATCCTGAATCTGTGGGGGAAGACGAGCTAGAAGCTGAGCCGACAGAAATTGAGGGGGCGGCTTTGTTGGCTAAGGAGGAAAATGGGGTCTGAGATGTAAGGAGATGCCAGCGGGAGGGGTATTTGTTGGGAACAAGCATTGAATCTGTGGAGCCTCGTGTGCACTTGCTGATGCCTGGAGATTACTGTGCTCATTCTTGTGGGGCTTGCCTGGTTAGCCTGCTTTACTGAACCTCTTGCTCTAGTTACTATTTTGCTAACCTTGTTTACTGGACTGCTGGCCCTGGTTACTGCTTTGCTCACTTTGATTACTGGACTACTCGCAGCCAGAGGCTGTTGAAGGTGCATATGAGAGCTTTGTTCCAGAACTTGTAGTAAACATGGGATGCTTGAGGCAAAGTTGGAGCAATAAAGCGTAGTTAGACCTGTTCTATGGCTCTGTTGCTTTCTTGCCACGCCTTGGGTCATCACACTATGGCTGGTTTATGGCTGGACTTAGACAATTAGTCAACTAAGATAGGAGAAATGAGTGCTACAGGATTTCTACATTCCAGCTTTTTCCACCATGGAGATATGTTGGACTATAGCTCACATCATCCCAAAATAACATGAAGAATGTGCTTTAATCTACCCAGAAAGCATCAGTGTAAGCAACTACAGAGGTACATCTTATAATTGGGATTTGTGGAGCTGACAATGTTAGATATCCCATTTACTTCATACCTGCCAGTGGTTAGCTGACTCAGATCCTTTAAGAAATCAACTGTTTCTTCTTCTCTAGCGTTGAAAGATATGGTATGGATTGGACATAGACTTCTTGAGATCTTCTGTATGAGCAAGTGCTTTGCGCATTCTGGTATATCACCCACGACAAAATAGTATACAGCTTCTGCCTGAAGTGCACAAGTCATTCAACAAAAACAGTTACAGACCCTTAGGTCAAAACTCTGCACAACATGCTCTATATGAATAGCAGAGCTATACCTCCATTCTATTCTTGATTGACAAAATTGCTAAAATGATAGAAGGGCCAATGGCATGCAGAATAATCAGCAAAAGATAAGATATACAGAGGTCTTCACATTAACAATATGGACCTTCATGCTCAATTCATATGTGGACTTGTACAATACATGTTTTAAATAGTGTCAAATGTCATCCTTGTGTGTCATCAAGGTCACAATTAAGTTGGGTGCCCTGATAAATTTATCACAATTTTCCTTTAAAAATGAAAAAAAAGAAAGTGTATAGAGTTAAGGAATGGGATTCTAGTGCATCATTATTTGATGTAGTGTTTAGTTCTAACTGAAATATCTGGATTGTCTTGTGGCAGAACTCCATATACAGTTCTAGAATACATTTTCTTGAAGGGATTATTATTGGGAGGGCTGGGCATACTATACAGCAATGTGCAGGTAAGGGCTCACTGGACTGAATTACTACATGTTAAAACTATGTAATAAAAATTTTAAAAATGGGTTCCAGTATTCTGAATTCAGATAACTAGTGAATTGTGTCCTGAAACTATACATTCCCAGGACACCTATTCTCAGGAAGAAACAGGCTTTTTTGATAGCTAAGATCAGTTTTACAAGGACAAAGTTTCATCCTTTAATGAAAGGATGAAGAATGACTTATTCTATAGCCATGTTACCTCTGATGTGAACAGTTTGAAAATTTGATCACCTGAAAGAATTAGGATTAACCTAGGAGTGGCTAGATTCAATTGCACAAATTAAGAGCCTCTGATACCTGCACGACATCTATATTACACACAAAAACTGCACAAATCATTTGAAGATAAATTTTACCAAGCAAGTGAAATATTTCCCTTGAAGCCACTGTTTGAAGCATCAAGATATACAGGTTTCCAAGCCCTCAGCAGAAGTCCTAGTGAAAGTGTTTATGGGCATCTATGGAGGTCTGCAAAGGATCTTGAAGTGGTTTTTCTGGGTTTTGGGGGCCTGCATCTGTTTCATTGTTCAAGCGGCAACTTCAGAAGGTGACTTTAGTCACTTTACAAAGCACCACTACTGATGTTTTATCATCTGTTTTTAAATAAAAGTAGTAGTTTTTGTTAAAACAAATAAAAATAAAAATAGTTATTTCTTATTCCATAAAATGGATTGTCTTTTTATCAATTTCCTCAATTTGGTGCTCTCTAGAAGAGTTTGGTGACAAATTCTATCACCACAGACAATGCAGGAATTGAATGCTATGCCTATAAAGTTGCACATTCATAACAACACGTTTTGCAAGAGTGGTTGGGATCTAAGCTTTAGACATAGCGATAATTTATCCATGTTCTATCTCAGAAACCATTTTCATTGATGTGGAGTCCACTGCCTATATCAGAGGAATCATATTATATGGCTCTTTTTAAAGTATGTTTTTCCCCCAGATGTCTGTTTTGTGGTTTGTTTGTTTTTAATTGTTTTCATATTGCGTGTCATCAAGGTCACAATGAAGTTGGATGACCTGATGAATTTAATAAATAAAGAAAACTTCCATTTTATAGAAAGGGGAACTGTTTAAATTTCTCCCTTATTCTGGGTTACCAGAATGACTTACAATATCTGGACTTGCTGTGTTTATATTTTTGTAGCAGAAGTACAGAAAGCTATTTCCTTTTTGAGGTTGGAAATAGTCTCCACAAATACATCTCTCTGTCTGTAATACAGTTTTGTGTGATCCTCAGCTTTAATGTAAGTCCTGATTTTTTTGTGTCAGCAATTTATGATCTACACATCCACGGAAGGGCAAAGTAGGGTAAGTAAGAAAACATGTGTCACAATGCTGTGATGCAAAACCAGCCCTTGCGTACTTGTATGCAATGTTATGACTCAAACATATACTTGCATCATGACATTACAATGCATGCTTTCTGATTTTGGCTTCATTATGCTTAGGAATGATGCCAGTGTTCAATGAATTAAAATTCATTAACCCTACTGTTGTGGCCCAGCAGGAGCCATTGGAGCTGCTACCAGACTCTGAAAGCGAGGGACCCTATGAGTCGGCTTTGGAGGATGTGGAGGACCCTGGACAGGGTTCCGACTCCGAGCAGGGTGCAGAGAGGCTGGTTGGCCACCAGGAGGCGCCTGAGCCTTGGACCAGTGGGGTGGAGACAAGGGAGGGTGATCCGGATGTCAGCAGTGAGTTGTTCCTGGATGAAAAACCATCGAAGAGCTAATAGGCATC